CCACTCAGCTGCAATAATTATTGCCTGATGGTAAATCTTTGACTCATTCCTCTTTTTTCATTTCTCTCTTTCCTATGTCATATCATAAAGATTTTAATATGTATCCTTAAAAAATAAAGGCTCTTCTAAAAAAAACTTTGAAATGTAACTACAACATCATTATCACACCTGAAAAAGATTACTAACAATTCCTTGATATCATCAACTACCCAGTTAGTGTTCAACTTTCCATTTATCTCAAGCATCCATTTTATTTTATAGTTTTTCTGAATTGGGATCTAAGAAAGGTTTACATGTTTGATAGATTGATAAATCTGTTAGTCTCTGTTGTTCATCAGACCCAGCAGCATGGTCAATTCTCTGGGTTTTCTTTTTACCTTATATATTCCAATCTTAGAGCTGAAGAATCTGGCAGTCTGGAAATGCCACCGGATGCAAACCAAAAAGCCACAACAAAGGACCGCTCTCTCTAGCCAAGGACCAAGAGAGAGAAAGTCTAACAAGACATAAAACATTTAGATAGTATGTGCTCTACTCCAACCAAACACCCATGAAAAACTGTGGTCACATCCCTACTCATGCTGGTGAAGTCCAAGTGGGGAGCCTAGACTTGCGTCCTCACCAGGCTGGAACCTGACACTCCCACCACCCCTGTCATGGTGGGGTCAGGAAGAGGCCAACTAGGGAATCAGGACTTTCATCCTCACTGGTAATTACCATCCCCCCACTCCATTATCGGTGTCAGTGCAGACAATGTAGGGAACTAAAACTCTCATCCTTGCCCACCATTAATGAAGAGTTCCCGTCTTGTGTGTCAACAGAGGCCAGATGAGGAGCCCATATTTCTCCCTCTGTCTGGCAGTAATGAGGGAGCTCCTTTGCTAGAGAGATTTCAGAAAAAGCCAGTTTCATAACACAATAAAAATATTCATGTTTTATTAGGAAAACATTTGTCATATCAAGAACCAAGAAAATCTTAAAGTGAAGAAAAAAAGACAATAAACAGATCTCAGCACCAACATGACAGAGATGTTAAAATTATCTGACAAAGATTTTAAAGCAGTCATAATAAAAATGTTTTAGTAAGCAATTGTGAAGATGCTTGAAACAAATGAAGAAGTAGAAAGCCTCAGCAAAGAAATAGAAGATAAGATATAAAGAAGATTCAAATGGAAATTCTGCCACTGAAAAATATAATAATGAAAATAAAAAGTTCAGTGGAGGGCTCAGCAGTGGATAGGTTCAACTGAACGGGACTGAAGAAAGAATCAGTGAACTGGAAGAATAAAATACTAGAAATTACCCAGTGTGAACGACAGAGAGAAAATAGACCTGGGGGGGGAATGGGGGGAGGCCACAGAACAAAGCCTCCAGGGACTTGTGGAACTATAAAAAAAAGAGCTAATATTTGTGTCATTTGAATCCTGAAAGGAGAGGGAAAGACAGTGGGGTAGAAAAATACTAGAGGAAATAATGGCTGAAAATTTCCCCAAATTGGCAAGAAATGTAAATGCACCAACTCAAGAAGCTGCATAAACCACAAACAGGATAAACCCAAAGAAATTCCGGCCAAGACACATGATTAAACTTCTGAAAACTAAAGACATAAAAAAAAACCTTGAAAGTAGGAAAAAAATGACATTTTGTCTTTATACGAAATATCCAACTCTTGGTTTTAGCCCAGGTCATGATCTCAGGGTCCTGGGATCGAGCCCCTCATTGGGCTCCAAGCTCATCAGGGAGTCTGCTTCTGGATTCTTTCTCTCCATCGGCCCCTCCCCTGCTCATGCTCATTCTAAAATAAATAAATAAATATTAAAAAAAAAAGAATTAGAGCAGAAATCTGTGAAATTGAAAACAGGAAATGAATAGAGAAAATCAATAAAACCAAAAGCTTGTTCTTGGAAAAGTTCAACAAAAGTGATAAGGCTATATCTAGGCTAAGAAAAAAAGAGAAGACATAAATTACTAATATCAGAAATGAAAGAGGGGATATCACTACAGATCCCAATGAAATCAAAAGGGTAATAAAGGAATACAATGAACAATGCCCACACATTTGATAATTTACTAGAAATGGACCAATTCCATGAAAGACACAATCTGCTAAAACTCACACAAGAAAAAGTAGATGATCTGAATAGGCCTGTATCTATTGAAAGAAACTGAATCAATATATAATAATCTTCCAAAACAACTCCAGTCCCATATGGGTTTACTGGTGAATTCTATTATGCCATTTTTCTACAGTCTTTCAGAGGATAAAACTAGAAGGAATACTTCCCAACACTTTCTATGAAGCTTGTACTATCCTAATACCAAAGTCAGATAAAGGCATTACAAGAAAAGGAAACTTCAGACCAGTATCTCTTATGAACATAGATGTAAAAGTTATCAACAAAATATTAGCAAATTGAATCCAAAAAAGTATAAAAAGAATTACACATCATGACCAAATGGGATTATCCTAGGTATGCAAGATTGGTTTAACATCCAGGAAACAACTTTATTCATAATGCCCAAATACTAGAAACACCTCAGATGTCCTTCAGCAGGTAAATGCTTAAATGAAGTATAGTTCCTCTGTCTCATGAAATACTATTCAGCAATAAAAAAGAATAGGCTATTGATTTTTGTACAAGTTTGGATGGATCTTGAGATCCTTGAGGGCATTATACTGAATGAAATAAAAAGCCAATCTCAAAAGGTCACATACTGTGTGGTTCAATTTATATAACATTTTCTAAATATCAGAATTATAGAGATGGAAAACATTAGTGGTGGCCAGGGATTAAGAGGAGATGGGGATGGGGACAGAGGTTGGAGGGAAGTAGGGCATGGGTATGAAAGGGCAACATGGGGGACCCTTGTGGTGATGGAATGTTTTGTATCTTCACTCTACTAATACTAGTATCATTGCTGTGATTTTAGTGTGCTACATTTTTGTAAGATGTTACCATTTGAAGAAACTGGGTAAAGTGTATGTATAATTTCTTAGAACTGCATGTGAATCTACAATGATCTTAAAACATTTAATTTTTTTAAAAGATTTTATTATTTGACAGAGACAGAGCACAAGCAGGGGGAGCAGGAGAGGGAGAAACAGGCTCCCCGCTGAGTAGGGAGCCCAATGCGGGGCTCGATCCCAGGACTCTGGGATCATGACCTGAGCCGAAGGCAGATGCTTAACCGACTGAGCCACCCAGGTGCCCCAGAACATTTAATTTTTTAAAAAATGCATGTTTGCCTAAATGGGCAACAGTTAACATTTTTCCATCTGTTCCCCACTGAAACTTTTATAGACTTATTATACTGCTATAATTTTCCCAGACCATGCCTATTCTTAATTTTCATGGAAATTCTCTAAAAGTAAAATGGAGAGTCAGTTAGGGTAGGGAAAATAAATGTGTTTTGAGGACACCTGGATTAAATTATTGAGCTGTTCATTTCCTGCCTCACTTACCAAAAGCAGAGAGATATAGGACATTGAAGTGGTTATCTGGGTAATCCAGACTCCCTGTGTTGGACCCTCATGTCTTCAAAAGGGAATGGTTGAAAGGTCTTTTTTTCACATTTCTCTGTTTCTGTCAGAAACACAGGCTGGCTTCTCCAGATGCTGAATATCTAATTGAGAATTAGAGTGTTTAAAATTTGACATTTTGCATGGAAAGTTATAATTCCATCTCAGGTGCTTCTGCAGCAGAACTCAGTAATAATCTTTTCAGAGCTTCTGACTTGTTTGGAAAGGCTCCCACGTTGTAAGATTGTCTGGAGCTGTACATTGCTGGCATTGCATCAACTGAGACATCAGACTGTCAATCATGACTTGTGTATTTAATAATATGTTAAGAACCATTGGCTGGTTCTTCAGTGCTTTGGAATTGATTACATATTTAGTCTTGTTCCCCAATCCTTACCTTTCTAGCTCCACTTGAGATTCATCCACCCCTACCCCCAACTGCCCTGGAGATGTGTGTTCTACACTTCCAGAGCTGTTTGAAATTAGGACTTACCTTTTTCTTTTGTTCCTTCATGTTTTTACATACCCTGTTTCCCCAACATTTTGTGTCCTTAGAGGCATTCCTAATCTTTCAAGATTCATTTCAAAAATCATCTTTTCCATGATATTATCCCTGATAATACATTTCCCTCTTCGTTACCCAGGGAAATGTTACACATGTCTTTCTCTCCACTACCTTGTTTATTCTTAACATACAGTAACTCCTATGGTGTGAAACCTGGCATATAGCACATAAGGGGCTATTTTCCACTTTAGACTCTGATTTCCTTCCGGGAAATAATTTTTCTCCATTCACCTTTGTGTTCCAAGATCTAGCAAGAGTGCCTGACATTAGGTGCTCAATAAGTAAATGAGTTAGAGAAATATGAACATTCTTATTTTCACACTAAAAACTGGAGGTTTGGAAATTTAAAATATGTATTCAGAGTACAAGGCTGACCTAGGAGGAACTGGAGCTTGGATCTAGTAACTGACTTAAAGAATAATGGTTTTGCTATCTGGGGTGTCTGGCCCATTGACATTAGTATACCTTGCACCTTACTGAAATGAAAAGAGCCATATGTTTTCACTCATCTGTGCCAATTAGACATTACAAATGGGAAATGGCACACATGGAGAGTAAGAGCATTGATTCTGGAGCTAAACTGTCTGTGCTCATATCCCAGCTTCTTACCTGTTGGTAATTGCCTGACTTCTCTCTGCCTCATGTGTAAAATTAGGGTAATAGTACTCATCTCCTGTGATTGTCATCGTTAAACAAGTTACCATGTGTAAAACATTTAGAACAGTGCCTAGCACGTTAGGCACCCTGTGTGTTGCTGACAAAAATGGAGAAATGAAGAATTCCTTAATTAACTTGGAAATGTGAGAACTCTTTGAGCTCATAGGTCATGCAAAAATAGGCGGCAGGCCATACTGTGTAGACTTTCAGTCTAGATCATTAATTCTTTAAGAGGTTGCAAAGTGGTGATATTGTTTAAGACATTTCATGTCCAGGCTGCAGTACTTTTGCATGTCATCCTTGCGCAGGGGCCATGCTAATCTTCTCTGTATCATTCCAATTTTAGTATATGTGCTGCCAAAGCGAGCACGAGGCTGCAGTACTTTTAAAAAGAGAAGCTTTCTCCCAGTTGACTAATTTGATAACCCACTGGCACAACTTGACAGATCGCAAATGTTATTATATAATAGAGTCCAGTCCCCTACTCAATAATATGTATGTTACTTTACCATATATCACTTTTGTACTATACTGGGCATGAGATCTGTGCTCAGAAAAGTACATTGTCCCTGGTACCTACGTAATACTTTTTGTTTTACAAGCACTTCAGTTAGAGTTGAGATCCCACATTCTCTTGGGCCAGTGTTTTTACCTCATTCTCAGGCTGCCTCTCTACTCTTTAAGAGTATGTTGCTCTTGCAGTGTGAGCCCCTCTGGTTAAGGTGGTATCTGGAAGCCCATTGGAGTGTGGATAACTTCCTGCTCACACCTAGTGATCCCTGTTTATTGGCCAATTGCCACACCATTGAAGGATGTAGTTAATGTTTGTGTCGTTTATAGCTGAACTAGCAAAGCCTAGCTGTTCATTACTTAGCAAACCTGTCTCTAAATTGGGTGACCCTTTTTAAGGCAGTGGTAGAGGGGAGCCTGGGTGGCTCAGTCATTAAGTGTCTGCCTTCAGCTCAGGTCATGATCCCAGGGTCCTGGGATTGAGCCCCATATTGGCTCCCTGCTCAGCAGGAAACCCACTTCTCCCTCTCCCACTCCCCCTGCTTGTGTTCCCTCTCTCGCTGTCTCTCTCTCTCTGTCAAATAAATAAAATCTTTAAAAAAAAAAAAGGCAGTGGTAGAAATAGTTTCATGTTGAATATAATGTAGAGTTTAAAATGTCCAATGAGAGATATGAAAAAAAATCTGTAAAGGGCAAAATAAGTTGCTTATGAAGACTTTTTAAAAGCACTTGCAAATCATTTGAATGATAATTATGTCCATTTTTTTAATGGAAAGCAACATTTCCTGAATGATGCTTGTGTTTTAATTAAAATTTTCTCCAGTTTTTTTTAAGATTTTATTTATTTATTTATTTATTTGAGAGAGCGAGCTTGCACCAGCAGTGGGAGGGGCAGAGGGAGAAGCAGATTCCCTACAGAGAGGGGAGCTGGACTCCTGGGATCATGACCTGAGCCAAAGGCTTAACCAACTGAGCCACCCAGGTGCCCCCTCTCTCTTTTTTTTTTTTTTAAGATTTTTTATTTATTTGAGAAAGAGAGTGCAAGCAGGAGGGAGGGGCAAAGGGAGAGAGAGGGAGAGAGAGGCAGACTCCCCACCGAGCATGGAGCCCTAACCAGGCTTGAGCTTACGACCCTGAGATCATGACCTGAGCCAAAATCCAGAGTTAGTTGCTTAACCACCTGAGCCACCCAGGTGCCCCAAAATTTGCTTCTTTTCAATAGATGCCTTTTCTGACTGTAATTGTGACTAATGTGCAACTGAGGAGATTAAAGGACTGATTTAGAGTTCTGATTTCATTACATGATAAGAAGAAAGAATGGTGGACTTCATCAGGTAGAGTTGTGTTTGAAGTTAAATTTAATATACATTTTGAGGGGTGCCTGGGTGGCTCAGGGTTAAGCGACCAACTCTTGGTTTCAGCTCAGATAATGACCTCAGGGTCCTAAGATGGAGCACCGCATGGGGCTCTGCAGTCAGCAGGGAGTCTGCTTGGGATTCTTTACCTCTTCCTCTCCCTCCCCGTCGGCCCTTCTCCCCCAACCTCATGCACATTCTCTCTCTCAAATAAATAAATAAATAAATAAAACCTTTAAAATATATACACATTTTGAGTAAAGCTTTTTCCTCACTCTTGGATTACAAATGGCAGTTAGAGTCTGACTTCCCATGCAGCTGGTGTGCTTCCACACTTAGTGATCATGGGTTTGAACTTGAAGTTGCTGGGAAGGAGACCAGTCATATTCCAGGGTGCTAGACAACCAGGCAGGACTTGGTTGAGAATTACCAGCATCCTCCATGTCATCACTGAAGGACAATGTGGGGGAAAGGTGGAATTTGGTGAGCTTGAGAATGTCTGTTCAATCTCTTAGAACATGGTGGTGAGAGAATCTTCAGCACAGGCTTGCCAGCTGCTGGCTCCAAGTGGCTGGACACCCTCTGAGGTAGTGGTTCAGATTTTGGTCTTGGGCTCCCAGAGACAGAAACAGTCACATAAAAACAGATAAAAACAGAAGTAGTCATATTAAAATGACATGTGCTAAGCCCGTAATTAAAGAAGGGACCTTTGGCATTTTGACTTAGGCCTTCTGCCCAGCTAAAGCATATAAATATAGGTTAAAATTTAGCATGATTCCTCAGGCTTGACTTGAATGCCTGTCTCTTATTCTAATGGGAAAGTTTAGAACAAAATAAATATTCATTCACTACATTCAAATTTTCTCATTTAAAGAGTGTGTGGGAAAATGATGTACAAAATATCACAGTTTAGGGTCATTGCCCACATTAAAATACATCTATGGATTCCCTTGGGTTTTAGGGAATTGCTGTCAGAATAGGTCTTTCTTTGGAATACAGTGTAAATTTTGTCGCAGTAAAGCACGTTTTAGGGAATATCATGTAGTCTTCTTTAGAATCTTAAAATGGAGTAATTCATCCATCAAATGAGCAGCCTTTTGTTTTAGGAGTGTGGGTAGTGATATTTTTGTAATAGTCATGAATCCTTTGTAAACATGGCTAAAAACTAGTTTTCTGTTTTAAAATGAGTCCAAGAAAGTAAGAGTTTTGTGACTAGTCCAGTGATATCTGGAAAGTTCTGTTAGCACTTAGCCCATTTCAGGTGATTGAATATATTTACACAACTGAGGGTAATGATAAAAAACAAAACAAAACAAAACACTATGTTTAAAAATAGTTTGAAGATCTTAAGGGAGAGGCTCTCATCTTTTCCCCATTGAGCGTGATATTCGCTGTGGGGTTTTCACAGATGGATTTTATGAACTTGAGGAATGTTCCCTCTTGTCCCTATACTCTGAAGAGTTTTAATCAGGAAAGGATGCTGTATTTTGTCAAGTGTTTTTTCTGTATCAATTGAGAGACCCATATGGTTCTTCTCTTTCCTCTTATTAATGTATTATATCACATTGATTCATTTGCAAATGTTGAACCACCCTTGCATCCCGGGGATAAATCCCACTTGGTCGTGGTGGATAATCTTTTTAATATATTGTTGGATCCTGTTAGCTAGGATTTTGTTGAGAATTTTGGAATCCATATTCATCAGGGATATTGGTCTGAAATTCTCCTTTTTGATGGGGTCTTGCCTGGTTTGGGGATTAAGGTAATGCTGGCTTCATAAAATGAGTCTGGAAGCTTTCCTTCTATTTCTATTTTTTGAAACAGCTTCAGGAGAATAGGTCTTATTTCTTTTTCAAATGTTCGGTAGAATTCCCCAGGGAATCCATCAGGCCCTGGACACTTGTTTTTGGGAGGTTTTTGATCACTGCTTCAATCTCGTACCTGGTTATTGGCCTCTTCAGGTTGTCAGTGTCTTCCTGTTTCAGTCTTGAGAGGTTATAGGCTTCAAGGAAGGCATCTATTTCATCCAGATTGCTCAGTTTCTTGGCATATAGTTGTTGATAATAATTTCTAATAATTGTTTCTATTTCCTTGGTGTTGTGATCTTTCCCCTTTCATTCATAATTTTATTAATTTGGGTTCTTTCTCTTTTTTTAATATTTCTAAATTTTTTATTGTTATGTTAATCACCATACATTACGTCATTAGTTTTTGATGTAGCGTTCCATGATTCATTGTGCATAACACCCAGTGCTCCACGCAGAACGTGCCCTCTTTAATACCCATCACCAGGTTAACCCATCCCCACACCTCCCTCCCCTCTAGAACCCTCAGTGTGTTTTTCAGAGTCCATCGTCTCTCATGGTTCATCTCCCCCTCCGATTTACTCCCCTTCATTCTTCCCCTCTGCTATCTTCTTCTTCTTCTTCTTTTTAACATATATTGCATTATTTGTTTCAGAAGTACAGATCAGTGATTCAACAGTCTTGCACAATTCACAGCGCTCACTGTAGCACATACCCTCCCCAATGTCTATCACCCAGCCACCCCATCCCTCCCACCCCACCACCACTCCAGCAACCCTCAGTTTGTTTCCTGAGATTAAGAATTCCTCATATCAGTGAGGTCATATGATACATGTCTTTCTCTGATTGACTTATTTCACTCAGCATAACACCCTCCAGTTCCATCCACGTCGTTGCAAATGGCAAGATCTCATTCCTTTTGATGGCTGCATAATATTGCATTGTGTATATATACCACATATTCTTTATCTATTCATTTGTCGATGGACATCTTGGCTCTTTCCACAGTTTGACTATTGTGGACATTGCTGCTATAAACATTGGTGTGCACATACCCCTTTGGATCCCTACATTTGTTTCTTTGCGGTAAATACCCAATAGTGCAATTGCTGGATCGTATGGTAGCTCTATTTTCAACTGTTTGAGGAACCTCCATACTGTTTTCCAGAGTGGTTGCACCAGCTTGCATTCCCACTAACAGTGTAGGAGGGTTCCCCTTTCTCCGCATCCCCACCAACATCTGTTGTTTCCTGACTTGTTAATTTTAGCCATTCTGACTGGTGTGAGGTGGTATCTCATTGAGGTTTTGATTTGGATTTCCCTGATGCCGAGTGATTTTGAGCACTTTTTCATGTGTCTGTTGGCCATTTGGCTGTCTTGTTTTGAAAAATGTTCCTGTCTTCTGCCCATTTCTTGATTGGATTAATGTTCTTTGGGTGTTGAGTTTGATAAGTTCTTTATGGATTTTGGATACTAGCCCTTTATCTGATACATCATTTGCAAATATTTTCTCCCATTCTGTCGGTTGTCTTTTGGTTTTGTTGACTGTTTCTTTTACTGTGCAAAAGCTTTTTATCTTGTTGAGGTCCCAATAGTTCATTTTTGCCCTTGCTTTCCTTAGCTTTGGCGATGTTTCTAGGAAGAAGTTGCTGCGGCTGAGGTCAAAGAGGTTGCTGCCTGTGTTCTCCTTTAGGATTTTG